TATAGAAGACATCTTATATCTGGAATCAAACCCAGGACCCAAGAGCTGTGAAGTAATACCACTAGTCACCAGGTGCTGCCCTTCGCTTAGCCACTGGTATTTCAATTAAGACGTGTTGCTGTGCAACTCATAAAATGTTTGTGTGAATAATATGAAAAACAGAAGGTGAATGTTTCCGTGAATATGTACAGCACAACTCACATTCCACTACTATTTGACTGAGCAAAGGAAGAAGTGCTTAAGCTCCACTTTCACTAAAATAAGTACAGCGCCACCATGCTACAGCAACATTTAACCTGCCACATTGTGGCACACAGTCAAAACTTAAGTTATGTTTTTTATTATACCTCATATGATGATTTTGGGCAAGGATGATGATTTAACCAATTAGCTCCTAGCTACAATGCATCCATTATGTGTCCTTATTTACAGTATATACCTATAAAGAGTTCTTCAATTTTCTAACTGCTTTGTCCAATTCAGGGTGACAAAAAAGCTAGAGCCTATCCCAGCAAGCAGCAGGCTCAAGGGAACACTCCACATGGGACACCAGTCCTTTGCAGGGTACACACCAACACAAACACAAACATGCATACACTCGAACCATGGCCAATATTCTGGAGAAAACCCAATGGAGAACATTCAAACTCCACACATCTCAGGAACTGAACCCAGTGCCCCAGCATGCACTGTGAGGCAGCAATGGTAACCAGTGTGTCACTGTGCCGCCTTAATAAGATAAGATAAGATGCCGTATCACCTCTGCCAGGGTTTCTCATGAAAGAACAAGTTATGATAGTGATAACTGATAGCCTTTCCAAGAGCCTCTGCCCATTGTGAACCCAGTCTGTATACAAGAGTATAGTAGTTCAAGTAGTTAGCACATCCAAAGAAGGCTCCGAAGCCGAAACGTTATGCTTCTTGTCTTTTCTTTTCAGCATGGAATAACCTTTACTTGTTCCTTTAGAAGAGTTAGGCTGAATTGTTGTTCAGAGTACTGATCATATTGGTGATATATTTTTGATTGTGTGTTGCCAAAATCAAAGTGTTCAGCTGAAGAGAACTACTCTATTGGCTAGTTAATTAGGGGTCTGATCTGGAATATGAAAGAGGTGCAGCACATGAAACAATTCAGCCTCTCAGAAAGCCTGCCTGGTCATGGTGTTTAAACTAGGTGACATATGTATGGCTCCATCCACTTAGAAACAGCCCTCACAAATAGTTTTAAAATCTGAGTTTAATAGCAATATTGGTTTATAGCTTAAGTTTTACACTGGCTTTCTTAATTGTAGAAGCACAATTAGTTGTTTCCATAATTATTTCTGACCCTATTTTGTATTAGGTTCGACTCCAAGTTTAAATTAGCTTTAACCATCAATACCTCTACAGAAATGTCTAAAGATGCCTGATTGTGTGGACATGCCTGATTCTTGATATAGGCAAACACCTTTGGCAGATCCTGAAACAAAACTGTAATATCTTCAGATTAAATGTTATTCTAAATAAGGGGTGCCCATCCTGCTCCTTGAGACCTACAGTACACAGTTGCTGGTTTTTGCTTCCACAATTCCTTAATTGAACCAACAAGTTGCTGGTTGAACCAACACGTTGCTGGTTACAGCCTTTGCAACTTTATTTTTCTACTCAGATGCTGAACAATTTAAGATAATTTAATGTAGTAACAGTTAGTAGATGACTTCCTACATGTTTAGGACCTGAACATAATTAAATAATTGAAATTAAATGTATTTTAGGTCTAATCTGCTAAAGGTTTGAGTGCTCAAAGGTGTGTAGGTTCCTGGGATCAGAATTGGTTTAGAGGAACATTATTATCAAAATCTAGACCTTCCTGCTTCCCTTTGTACTTTACAGGCTGGGACCCCTCATTCCTCATATAGAAAATAGAGCTATATTCTAATAATTCTTCCTTTCATTCCTATTCATGTCCTTCTAAGCAAGACCCCACGTCCACTGAATGAAAATGACTTCATCCTCCATTTCAGAGATTTCTGCTCTTCACTATTTACTGGAAACTTCTCCCTGTGTCAATATTTAAAACGAGGTTAATCGTCAACTCTGGAAATGCACAGGGATCCCTTGCCTCTGGACAGTCAGACACGGACATAATGGTGAGTTGCGCTTGGCACTTTCTTAACCTTTTCCTTGGGTACTCTGAGTAGGTACAAAGTGATGGGGCTTTCAAGACACCAGGTGGCTGACTGCTTGGGTGTCTGAGAAGTCCTGTTTGCCAGACTCAGCTGTGAGGAATGACAGTGGGGAAGTGCTGAGTGGTTGCTGTTTTCCTGTTTTACCATTGTTTGTTTTGGAAGGGTTCAGCTGCAAGGAATATTTAGTGTCAGTGCAATTCCAGCATACTGAATTCTGGGCTAACTAGTGAAGTGTGTTGTTTTAGTCTAGTTGATCCTATACTTCCTCTCATTTCATAGTTTCTGATCAAAAGTCAGAAATTGTCAAGATAAAATGCGCCAAGAGGCTTTTTCTGTGGAGCTTGGAGCAAAACACTCAAAAATGTTTTATTATAAAACACTTCTTCAAGTTCTTTGAATGTTAATGTGACCTTTAACTAGTACCATTATTATTTTAAAATTGGAACTTCTACCAGTTCTTGCAAACAAACAAAGGTGTTTTTTTAGGGGGGGCAGGGGGCACTTTTACTCATGTTTTCCTGTACTGTTTCCTTTTTTTTATAGTTCAGCAGCATAGAATGGTCATATTTGAAACTACATTACAGAAATGATACACGAAAGTGGATCTTTTTCAGCATCATAATTTCATTTTCAGTTCTAATATAGGCACATTTAGGTTTATGTAACTGTATTTAGTGCCTTATTATAAAGTTGTAACCTGTTTTACATCTTATCAAATCAATATTTTAGCAGTTTTCATTGTTTTAAGACCATCTGAAAAGTCTCTTAATTGTGTCAAGCCTTTTCCACCCCCCGTGTAGAATATTAAAAGGGATTTCAAACAGTTTATGGTAGATTAACATACTGGCAACATCCTACACAGGACATTTTCAGACTTAAAAGAAATTTGTTATCAACATTCATCCACATACCTTCCGATTCTGGAGGCTGGTGCAGGGGCAGTAACTGAAGAAACTTACAGTATATACTGAACTCATTTTTTGTTCAATTCCATGTTGAATTTTGATGATGCTGAATGTTGCTGATGGCACCTCAGCATTAGTCCCTTCAGGAAAGTTTATTCTAACTTACTTTTATACAACCCTTGAGGGGAAACTATTCTACCTTTGGAAGACATTATTTGGTCAAAATGTGTGTTCTGTTCACAGGGCACTAGCAGTATTAATACATTGGGAGGTTACAAATTGGGAGAAGTTACACCTGGGAGATTTCAAAATAGTAAGACATTTGAGTTCTGTATACAGGCAGCAGTACAATGGAGGGAAAAGGGAAGCTCAGAGAAGTAACATAATACAAAAAAGAGATTCAAGAAAGTCACTAAAAACTAAAAAAAAGAGTGGTGACTAAGGGACTAAGTGGTGTGCCACTAGCGGACACAGAAGTGGATTACTCCTCTCAGCTGCAGAATTAGTGTTCTACAGAGAAGCGGCATAATACCAGAGATCACAGGATCGCCATGCTACCTTCCTTTGCAAGGAAACAGATGTCCAAGGCTTCTTCCTGTGAACTCTTTCCCAAGCTCTTTTTCTCTTTCTGTTGTTTGTTTTCCTAGCGTCCTGCAAGTTGGGCTAAATTTAGCACTAAAGCACAATCTTGTTTTTTCTTCTACTTCTGCAGAAGAAAAGAAACATAAGGATGCTACCATCTTCCCTGTTCCTTGTCTTTCTCTCCCTGGTCTGCCTGAACACAGCCTTCAGTTCAGGTGAGTATACTGCAGGACATCAGGGTCACTACAGGAATCCTTTTACATTAAGCAAAGGATAGACTTTCAGGAATCCAAGTTCCTTTCTCATCTGTGAAAGAGATTCCTTTATTAAACTAGCTACTGCAGGAGAGTTTCACTGATGAGGAAGATTTTTTCAACTTAGTATGGCAACGCAAGCACAAACTACTGCCACCTTTTTAGAGAGTAATGGAAGCCCCCTGATTAATTTCTCCGCTACTGCTTGGAGATTCATGAGATCACATCAGTCCTGACCTATAAAATCGAACCTTCATCTGCCCAGCCAGTTGAAAATTCAGTGGTATATCAGTTCAAAACCAATCTCCTCCTTTTTGGAAGTGCTGTGTCATGTAACAGAATACTTGTGAAACACATTTGGTGGATGATACTCTTGACTTCCACTAGTATACTATCTACAGTACATTACATTATCCATTAATGTTTCCCTGTGTGTAATAACTGGCTCTCCTGTGCACATACAGTTTCTACCAGAGGTGTACCTTTCTGACTGATTGTGCTTGATAGTGTATGTTTTGTGTCTCCAGTGTTTTTGGACAGGAAGAAGGCTGACAGGGTTCTGAAAATCCGGAAGACCAGGGCTAATTCCTTCCTGGAGGAAATTCGGCCAGGCAACCTGGAACGAGAGTGTTACGAGGAGTTGTGCTCCTTTGAGGAAGCAAAGGAGATCTACCAAACCAGGGAGAAAATGGTGGGACTCACACACGAGAGAGTGAAGGCGAATGTTGGGGTGGAATTCTAGAAATATGTGGTTACACCCCAGAAGTTTTTTTGAATTCCATGATAAAGTTATTTCCTTTTGTTTTGCATTCATTATTTAATATTTTATTATATTATTCTCTAGACAGCACAGTGGAAGCATTAGTGCCTTGTAGCAGTGGGGTTCTGGGTTCAATTCCAGACCTGGGGTGCTATCTGCATGGAGTTTGTATGTTCTCACTATGTTCTCATGGGGTTTCTCTGGGTGCTTGTACAGTAAGAAAATGTTGTGTCCTGCAAAGGACTGGTATCCCATTCAGGTGGTATCCTGTTTTTTGCCCATTGCTTGCCAGGATGGGCACTGGCTCCTTTGTGACCCTGAATTGGATAAAGCAGGGAGAAAGATCTTAGTGTATTTCTGAAAAATGCTTGAAACTTAGAACTCAGTAGCAAATCTTTTGATTTTGCTGCATTTCACTCAGATTTTTCTCTGTTTCTCTCTTCGATCTTCTCCATCTAGTTTAAGCATTCCACTGTTTAGTCATGTGGCGAAAATAATAAAATGAAGCACGAGTTTGCCATCTTAACAGTTTGAGAGAGTTTAATGTCTCTCTTAGCTCATCCCTGTTAAACACAATGTGGCTGTTCTTTATAATATTGCAATGATGATGCTTCCCATCAGACACAATTTCTATACAAGGGGTTGGGGAGTGTAGAGTACCTCAGCCAGTAAAGGTGCTCACTCCAAGCCCAGGCTGACCTCTAGAATCCTGGTGCTGCCAGTTTGGTCCAGTTTGGGTTACGATTAGCTTGTGACATGCAGTCACGTCACAAGCTGACTGTAACTGGGAGTCTTCGAGTGATGGTGTGCAGAGGATGCTGCCAGGCTAGGCTTGGTTTAGAAGTCCACGGCTCTCTCTGCAAAACTGTGCCCCCTGAGGGCTTACAGCAGCACTGGCGAGAGCCACTTCACTATTCCAGTCAGCACTAATCTGACACCAGGTGCTGTGGGGCTTAATGGGGTCAGATGGCTAATGGCTCTGAAATGGGTCAAAGGCCAGAACTGTTTATCTATTCTTCCTCAATCGCTCTGTTTAGTATGGGAGACATTGCATAGAACAAGACTTCAAAAACAATTGGCTACTTCACACCAGATGGGTATTAATGTCAAAATCCAAATGCTGCTAAAAAATTTGTATACAAAGGATAAACGTTACAGCCACCACAATGATATTGATGATAATGTTTGTTCTAACCCTGTCTTTTTAAAAGCAAAAGCTGTCTTTGCTTTTCTGCAGATGGAGTTCTGGTTCCACTACAAAGGTGAGTAGCTGCTGCCTTCAGCAGTTAGAGACTCTTAGCACGACTGACATCTGCAGGAGCAGATTTCGTGAGCACAGTACCAGTGCAGCCTCTAGCACCAAGCATGATCACATAAGTGATCTGCAAACCCACAGCCCAGGCTAAGGCATAAAAATTCTAACTGGGGAGCTGCATCACCATGCAGACTCTAAACAAACTGCTAGTAGTTGATTCGATGCTGAAAAGAAACACAAAGTTTGGTATATGGAGCCAAATTGAGGTAAATGAGTAAGATTCCAGTGCCAAAACACAGTGACACACTAAACAGGTCACAGAGATCAACCCTCCGTTGCTGTAGGACTATTGTGATGTTAGCACTACGTCAATGCTCCACAAGAGGGCAGCATTGTGGCACTATGCCTATCTGTGTGTAAGTAACACCGTCAACAGTAAACACTCCCCAGGGTAGATTTTCACATTAGGATGAAGCAGAAATCTCACCTTTTAGATTTTTAAAATGATTTTGATTCTTATGTGACTCTACACTCTAGTGCAGTAATCACAAAAGAACAAGAGTGGTATCAAAGTGTGTATTGTGAAAAAATGCTTTTTTAATATTCTGTGTGCCTTCTTGAATACAAGTTGAGCTTTTCTGGCTTTGATTTCTGGAAGCGGTCTTCTCAGGTCAAGAGAAATACAAGAAACACTGAAAAGCCCGCTGGAACCTGTAAAAAATAGTGTTGAAATTCATCTCTTTATAAACCACCAGCAACAAAATGAGCAAGACCAAAAGATCTCCTTTCATTTTCAATTGTTCTTGTGTGTCTTTTTTTTGCCCAAAATGATTTAAATACTTTTTTCTGGCTTTTTCAGACCTAAACATCTGCAAACAGAACCCTTGTCAAAACGGAGGGATCTGCACCAGTGAGCGCTACAGCTACCTGTGCCTCTGCCCTCCCCGCTATGAGGGGCAAAACTGTGAGACAGGTAAAAGATCGCCCAGTCGCCAGCTCGTGCACCTGACACAAGGTGTGCAGACATGAGGTCTACTCTCCCAACACTGCCACAGAAGCATTTATCAGGACGCATGAATGTTCAGCATCTCACAAGGGTACGATAACACAAAACAGCTGTAGTCAAGATTACTGGTCACAGTAACCAGCCAGTTGTTTAATGAACAGCGCCCCCATTCCCCGTTCTGGAGGATGATGGGAAAAGCTGTGCGGATGCAGATACGGTATAGCCCAAGAGCCACCACAATTCCTCTCCTTCATCATCAGGGGGCTTAACCTCCTTATCCCGTTACTTGGGACGTCTGCAGGACAATGCTGGAAAGTTACACTTCACGTCATCCTAACCTAAGCAATGTACTTTGTAATCAGAACACAAAGTCTTACACGTGCAAGTGCTCTCCCATCTCCACAGCAGTGAAATGTGTATTTGGAAACCGAACATATTAAATGTCACAGTCCAGATGGTTTTAGATCTCTTTAAATGAGGATCTACAAAAGCTCTTCCGGTTTGTAACCTTGTCTCAGTTTAAAGCTTAGTATTCTATTAATAAAACATTCTTGGCAGTGTCTCAGTCTTGAATTTTACTAGACAGTGCCTTGTTTATAGTACTGTCATTTTTACGGCAATAGTTTAAGATAGTGTGCTGGCTGTTTATTAGGCCTAACTGAAAGTACAAAGGGCTTGTGCTCCTGCAGGTTATTTACCCTGACCAGGCTGGGTCTAATGGAAGTGGAATGACTCTTGATCACTTTTTTGTCTGCAGAAGTCTTCGAGTGTCAGTATAAGAATGGGGGCTGCCAGCAGTACTGCATAAACAGGTTCCGCACGGTTAGTGTGCAGTGCAGCTGTGCTCAGGGGTACAAGCTGGAGGAAGATGGGAAGAGCTGTGCAGAAGCAGGTACTGTGGAGCACAAGAGCTGCCATCACGCTATTCCTGTATCAACACTGTGTTCTCTTTACAGTTTCTCTTTCTTTATCCTGAAGAGTCTCTCTCCTTAAACCTGTGTCTCTATTTTTCTGATTTCTGACCATTCTCTCAGAGAAACAGTGAGATCTTACAGTCAAGTCAGTGAGCAACACACCACCCCTTTCTTTCAGCGCAAACTCTGACCATGGAGTTTGCAGCATGGCCAGACATGGATGGCTGTGTCAGAACAGTCTGACGGTCTTACAGGAGCCCCCAGACAGCTGGCTATTCCAATGCGGTGCTCAATAAAATTATTCCAAATGTAATACTTTTTGAAGAGGTTTTGAAGAGAGGAGATTGGTGTCTGTGATCTACAAGACTGACTTTCTCCTCAGTTCCATTCCCCTGCGGGAAAAACAAGGATGTCAGCTACACTCGTTCTCTCCTCAATGAGTCGGACATCTTTGATCTAAACAACACAGCTTCGACCAGCTCTCCCTGGCTCAATGACACACGCTTGCAGGGTAACGTCACAGACAGCCCAGACGGGAGCGTCCTGGAGGTCAACGAAGATACCCGGATTGTGGGAGGCATGCTCCAGCAACAGGGGCAAAGCCCTTGGCAGGTGAGTCTTTACCGCTGTGAGAGGGAATTGGGTAAGCAAAAAAAAATCAAGCATCTGTAACAAAAAGATTGAAAAAGACTTGCTCCGTTTTATATTTCAAAAGAAGGAAAGGGACACTGAGGTTCTGGTGAACAGCTGCTGCTTCTTCAGCTATGATTTGTAATCTGAATGGAAGGTTTTAATCTACTAAACAGATTTGGAAAAGTTCTCCTCATAACCATAACTATGCTGATGTAGTTTGATTTTACTGGTCTTTTGTTTTCCCGCTGGCTAGGTCTTGATTCACAGGAAAGATGGCTATGGGTTCTGTGGGGGATCATTGATCACTGAGCGATGGGTCCTCAGTGCTGCTCACTGTTTCCAAGAAAAACCTGACTACGTCACTATTGGTGAGTGACCAATCACAGAGGAGAGCACAAGAGGTCAGGGTTCAGGGACCTGCCACCTGCAGGGACCCAAGGACATGCACTGTGGAACTCTTTCAGAAAGTCGAGCCTCAGGATTTACTCTAGTTTTCCTGTCAGTAATTAAAGCTGTACAGCAACACATTTCTGATAACCCTGCGGAACATCTGTGACAAGCATGGGTAAGGGTGTTGAACACCAACATGTTGATGACCCACAATTATTTGTATAGCACCTTTAATCCTAGAGGGTTAAAGCACCGTACGTGCAGGAGGACACCCCTTTCATTCACTATCAACATCCACCTGGGTGACAGCTGCCAGTCATTATAAACCAGCATCCCTGCAATGTGGCAGACTAGATCAATGAGAGTTTAGATCACCATAAACAAAGGAGATTTAGTTAAATTTAGCCTTATAAACAGTGCCATGGGATCTTCAAATATACAAGACCTAGGTTTAACATCCCATTTAAAGGATGGCAAGTCCTATGCCACTGCTCACTGGTCCAGCAATACTATTTGCAGCAGCCATCTGGGTTTCCTTGTGAAAGCCCCTCATCCTAATTCCAGCCAGCCCAGGGCTGCTTAGCTTCTGAGCTCGGATGGGATCACATTTTAAGGAGGAAATGCTGCTGTGACTTCAATCATCAACCCATCTCTGTAAGTCTTTAAGGCAACTTGAAGTATTATATTGCTCTGCCAACATAGTGGTGAGAACTATGGTTTTGCCTGTGCTACACCATCATATGCCATCATTGTTACCACTGCAGTGCTAAATAAAACTAGACAATTCTCACCTTGATTTTGAAGGCTTTTCAGTTAAAAAGATCAACACACACCTCGGCAAAGTTGAGAGAATGGCTGTGCTGTTGCCTTTCTGCTTTAATTTGATTCATCGATTCAATTCTTGCACGCAGGGGACTTTGACAAGTACCTTCGGGACCAGGACGAGCAGAAGATCAGGATAGGAGAAGTGGTGATACATCCTCACTTCCACGACGCCACCTTCGACAGCGACATTGCGCTGGTCTACCTGGCCGAGCCGGTGATTCTGGGGCCCTTTGTGGCGCCCATCTGCCTCCCCAATAGCAACCTGGCAAAGCTCTTGGTGCAGGAGGGAGCAATAGGCCTCGCGACCGGCTGGGGGGCCACCAAGTACCTAGGTCTGTCCTCCCGCTTCCTGCGCAAGGTGGCTTTACCGGTGGTGGACCAGCAGAAGTGCATGAGCTCCACCACGCAAGTGGTGACTGACAACATGTTCTGCGCGGGCTACCCGGACGGGGTCAAGGACTCCTGCAAGGGGGACAGCGGCGGCCCTTTTGCTTCCCTCTACCGGAACACCTGGTACCTGACAGGCGTGGTCAGCTGGGGGGAGGAGTGTGCTGCCAAGGGCAAATATGGCTTCTACACCCGTTTGGCCAACTTCCTCCCCTGGATCCAAGACACCGTGGCCAAAAGAAACCGAACAAGGGTCTGACGCAGTGGAGAAAACCACTTACCGTCCCCTTCAACTACAGACCCCCACCCCCGATGTTCCAGCCTTAAAAGAATTTCCACAAGTTCCCAGGCACATACTGTATAATGGCATCAAAGCCGGGATTCTGAGGTGCCCATGGAGGTATCTGTGGCCTATTTGATCTCTTCCAGTCGAAGTGGTTTTCAAGACACAGTATGGAGCCATCGTGCCATGCTGCCAAATCCTCTGCCAATCCAGTGGAAGGTGGACTTCGTGTACAATTCCTTCCAGGTTCAATCATTCCTTCACAAGATGCCACCAGCCTTGCTACCCTCACGACTGTCAATAACAAGACCCATGAGATGCACAAAATACTCTTCTAATTTGTCAAGATTACATTGTAATACGGAGTATGATTTAAAACTAACTTGTGTTCAAGCATTGTATGTGCCAAAATACCCAGAACAGTATTAATGTGTGTTGTCCAATTGACCATATTTGTATCATCGATTTTTAAAATAAAGGTAATCCGCAGTCAGGACCGATCATTCTGTTATAGACCTTTGTTTTGTGTATATATATATTGTAGTTAAAGATGAGCTGTCTGACATTTAAACATCCAGAACCTGTCATAGACAGCAACACACATCTATTTTTTCCCCACTTTTCTTCAAGTTTGGCAATAGAAATCCAATACACTTTTGTATAAGATACAATGCATCTTATACACAAACCCTGAGATGGGATAGCTGGAGAAAGGCTTGTGATAACATGCCATTTGTAAACTTTTTTCCCCTATTTTAAAAATAAATGGTGAGTTCTATCAGTGCATGTCTTATCAGAATTTAGATTAAAATAACATAAATGCATTTACATTTTTATAAACCCATCCGTTTTCTAATAACACCTTCTAATTTTCTAATTCAGGGTCACGGGGCAGATGGAGCCTATCTTGGCAAGCAATGGGCTCAAGACAGGGTACATCCTGGACATGACATTAGTCCATCACAGAGCAGATATAGACACACATAGACTAACAACTGGGCCAATTTTCCCAGAAGACCTTTCCAGCCTCTTACAAAAACAAAAGGGAACCGATATCACAAATTTGTTAATTTCACTCTGAGAATCCAAAATCACTGACTGTAAGCTGAAATGCTCATGCATCTACGGCACCACATCTGAGGAGAAAAGGTTACCAATATAAAAAAAGGCCATTCAGCCCATTTGGCTAGCTACTGTATTTGATCCAAGGATCTTTTTGTTGTTGAAACTGGACTATCAGCTGGGTAGGAAAGGAACAAGTAATAGGTGTATTCCATGCTGAAAAGAGAAGAAAACAACGTTTCAGCCATGGAGCCTTCTTCAGGCGTTCGGCTGTGATGTTGTGTTTTCTTTCTTCTCTTTTCAGCATGGAATTATTACGATTACTTGTTCCTTTGTAGCCTACGGATGCTGACGCAGCTACTCACCTGAACTACAATCAGCATGGTAGCTTGTTCAAGACCCCTCCACCGCTTTGCATAGAAAAGTACCTTCTCTTTCCAAGTTTAAATAAGCTTCCTTATAGTTTCCCTTTATGTCTTCTGATTCATAGTTTAGTGTTAACAATGAGGAAGGGCATTGGGTTGTCAATGTCTTTGAGGGCTTGAATACTTCAATTAGAACTTTTAAGTCTTCTGCCCACAAGATTGAAAAGATTCAGTTATAGCCTGCCAGTTTAGGACATTCTTCTGAGCTTAACTATAAAGCCAGCAGTTCTTCTCGGGAACAACCGATGCCACTTCTGTAGTTTTGTTAATCTACAGAATTTAGATTTCAGTAGATTGGCTAATTAAAATTAATACCTGCCTAATTACATTAGAACCTCAATCGTTCATATAAATTAATAGCAAAGGTCCTAAATAAATTTACAGTAACCCAAAAATTACTTAAATAGCACTTAAAATTCATAAATTAAATTCTGTAGGACTTTGGTATCCACAGTATTACTGACTGTGACGCATACCAAGTTAAAAGGCCTTGAAGCATATATTAAATGGAAGAGCAGTCAATCTGAAATAGGCTAACAAATCTTTAGAAAGTTCCCATATACTTCATTTATTTGACCATAAAACAAACATTTTACACAAAACAATAAATAAAAGGAAAATGACTGGACTGAAGATTATATATATAGTGGATGATTTCATAAATGGTGAATAACAGAGTTAGGGAAAGGGAGAAGCAGATTTAGACAAGCAATCTTGTTTCCAGTTCTCAAATGTATTCCCCTATTCTACAGGTTTGTAAAAAATGTGTTTTGCGGTCCTTCGACCTTGAGACACGTAAACAGTGCTAAAAATTTACACGTCTCAAAAAACACATAAAACTTCTGCACTGTTCACATGTCTTTTGCACTGTTTTGTCCTGTTTATCAGGACAAAAAGTAGTCCCAATAATTAACTCTGGTGAAACAAAGTCATTATTAAATCATTAAAGCAGCTATATTAAAGAATAAGTATTTAACAATGACCAGGGTAATCTTGGTGAAGTCATTAAGCTAGTATTAAAAGAAATGGACAAATGATGCCTTTGTTCAGAATAGGGAAACGGGTTCCTCTTCATGTATGTAGATCTGTTTAGAGTAAGATTCAGTCCTAGATGGGTTTTATATAATTAAGACACAGGTTCTCACTAATGTAATAAAGTTTAGACAAGAACAGGACAATTTTGTTTCTAGTTAAACTGGAAAGAGGTACTCTCACAGCACATTTGTTATGAAGATCATAGATGAGGACTGTCCTTTCTGTCAGTTCTTACTTTTTGTTCTGTCCCATTTCTGCATGTCCATTCCTATAGTGGGTTGATTAATGACTTCACTAGGAATGACCTGGTCACTGTTGTATACTCATTCTTTAACAAAGTTGTTTAAAAGACTGAACAGTGACTTTGTGTAACCTATTCTTCTTCCTGTCTGTTCTTATTTTTTATCTTCACTCTTTCCTGCAAAGACTATTCCTGTATTTATTCTACAGTCAATTCCTATCGAGACTGGCATACTATACTTTACTATGAATTGCCTGGTCACTGTTGAAGAATTTTTCAAGAAAAGGATTTTTATTCTATAATACAGATGTTTAAATGATCTTACAGTTACTTTGTTTTACCAGACGTAATTAGGACTCTTTTGCACTGTTTACTTGCCTCAAAGCCCAACAACAGCAAAATAAAGCCTAAATAAAAAATTCAGAATAGGGCAACACATTTTAGAAATGCAAATAAGATGGCCTTGCTCAAGCTCAGCTAACCCTTTCCATAACAAACATTTAAATGTAAAAACTGGCAGCTTGAGCCCAGTACACGAAGACAATGTAAAACATGGTTACAGGTTTACTGCACTCACTTTTTAATTCACAGGCTGTAAATTCCTTCTGTATACATCTACAAATATGTTCTATGTTTCATACCCATCTGTTCTACAGCTTAAAGGTTGGCAGCTCTTGAAAAAATGAAAGCATGTGTATACTTTAAATTCCTGAGATTTCGAGTAGAAATCGGCACAATGAATAACCATGTAAGACAAAGCCAGATGTCAATATTGGTTGTTGCTGTAGTTGCAGGCTATATTCTAAAACTCGATAATTAACTTAAAAAGAAATGTGAACTAATCCTTAAGAAAACATAACTAGTAAAAATTCAAGGTGGGACTCCCTCAATAAAAAATAAAAACAGATTCAATTACAATTTTCAGCACAGATTCTTTAAAGTATTTGTAGAAAACGTAGACCACTCAAAACAACCTTTCAGGATAATGCAATGCCAGTGCCTGAACGGCGAAAAATATTTCAGAGGCAGTGCACAGTACAATGGCAATTCATTACTTTCAGTATTAAAGATTACTTAATGTGCTGACTGAATGTTAAGGAATAATATTTCTTTTAAAAATGGCAAAACATTACCCATATATAACGTCTCACCTAAACACTGGATTAAAAACAAGCAACGGATTCTGTACAAGGATCTCCAGTTTAATCAGAAAGGTGAAACAACCAGTATTTGTCTAGGCGACTTTACAGATAGGAATTTACAGCAATAAATGGGCCTCTGCTCTCAGAAGGCAACAAACCAGCGATGCTGAACATTATTATACATCCAAACTAGCCAGAGGCAGGCTGTTACTTTAGTGCCATCAGGCCACGTGGCAGAGCTGAAAGTCAGTCTGGAGGAGGACGGGGCAAGTGGATTTAATGGGAAACAACCATTTTTTAAAAAGGGGGAAAAATATCACAAAGGCATCCTATTCCCTTCAACACTGATTTTCACAGCATGGGCAGTCTTGGTCAGCCTCTTGATGTCAGCGAAGCGACGCATCTGCTTGTCGACCCGGGAAAGCCCTTTCTTGGCAGGTCCCTGCGAAGATCAGGTGCAGTGGATTAAGAGGAGAGAGGACAGGTGAGAAAACCCCTATAACCAGAGGAGGATTTCTACTAAACCCCAGTCACATAATAGTAACATTTTGTGTGCCAAAGATAGCTAGGCCTGAAAGATCGTGAATCATTGCTTCTCCACACAGAAGCAAGTTCTGATTGGGGGCATGGGCACTTTTCTTGGTAAGGTTAAACATCCAGCTCGGATAAGTAAGACGGACCTCCAAATCATGCTGCATCAAAAATCACACAGGCAAAAACTCTGCTGCAGACTCTTGCGCTAGCATGCAAGAAGATGCAAAACCCCACTGGCAAATCTAAGGCTCTATACAACTGAGGATCACAGTCAAGGACATGCTTATCACTCTCACACTGCACAGCAGTTACTGAGTCAGGCTTTCAGACTGTGCTCTGCAAAGACAGACCCCTCTCTATGTACATCCACTGTTACACATTATGAGGCAATGCAGCTGGTGACAAATCCTTTAATGGGTCAGCCATGCTCCTGGGTTTCATTAAACAACTTAATTTCTGCCCTTTCCAAGTCTTCCAGACTAAGTAACCAACCTAAATAAAGGACACCACGCTAACCATAGTTAAGCCAGAACACTCTCCTGGCTCTTGAGAAACCAAAAAAAGTTTACAACTGTGCAAGATTAATCAGGAGTTCTCAGCACAGTTGGGTTCTAGTAGTTAATCGATCTCTGAACACCAATCAACTACATACATCAGTACAGTGGACTAACTTCATGGTTTTGTAGATTCAATTAATAATCCTAAAACTAACCCAGCAATGGGCTATGCAGGATTAATTACAGCTGGAGTCGTAAATCCTACCTCTCAACCACAGAACAAGGCACAAATATTATGTCAACATATCTAAACATTAGTAGCTGTTGAGCACCCACAGCCGAACGAGTTAGAGATGAAGGCTGGAGCGTCCACACTGCAAGCAGTGACCACAGTAGGGTCAGATGCCACTTGTGCCACTTACACTCCCTTCCTTATATGCCTCTTACAGGGGCATCCGATTGCCCTCCACACTGATCTTTACGGCTCCCTGCAGCCTTCGCAGCTTCTTCTGCTCCGCAAAGCGTCTCTTGTGCTTTTCCAAGCGGCTCAGCCCCTTCTTTGAAAAGCCTGTCTATTGAAACCAAGCCAGAGTCGGGTGAAGGCGAGCTCAGTCATGGCTTTCCCTACTTTGAAGTCCCAGAATAGGCACAGCGGGGGAAAGCCCAGCAGGATTTTAGAGTTTATCAGCAGCTCCTGTAAGTTACTGGCTCTTCAGACTTTTTCATTAAGAACTAGAATCATTCAGTTTACTAAGTCAATCAGACAAAACATTTGGGTGATCCAAAACATTTGGACATAGCTGATACTTTAAGGTCTATCTCTTGCCTATTAAACTATAGTTTACTTCAAATTCAACCCCGGACAGAATCAGCAAGGAAGAAGCAAACCATAAAGAAAGTTTGAATATTTTGCAAAAGGCTATGTAATCTGCACCAAAAAAGATGTGAAATGCCTTGGGAGCAGAGATCAGGGGAGCCACGCAATGTTTCTTCACAGGTCCTTCCAGGACTATAAAGCCTGTCCCTTTTGCAATGAAGAGAGAGATGTTGTTTTCCATACTTTCCAAGCATAAAAAACAGCAAAGATTCTTCTTCAGACAAGTGACTGGGTATCCAATTCACACTCACCCTGTTAGTTTCTGCGTCAACATTCCACTTAGGTCGAACGACGTAGTCTTTGTTGGAGGGCATGGGCACTCTGGCACGGGCACAGAACCCAGGGTCTCCTGGTCTCAATGCCCTGAAAGCAAAGAGTCAAGAACACGTGTGCCTTTAAAAACTGAACGAGCCTGCACAACACAACCACACTGTCATAGGTAATCCCCAAAACGTATTTGAATTCATTATGGAAAGAAGTTGATTATCTTAATTTTCCTTTTAGGTTTACTTGGGAATGTTGTGTAAATACTCATCAATGCTCTAGATAAGGGACACTGGAATATGGAGCGAACCACCAGCTTATGAATCCTACTATGTTTACCTATAAATTTCACTAAAGACAATAAGTTTTTTTTTTTTTGACAAGCCTCAAATGTGTGGCTAGTTGGTCTAGGGGTATGATTCTCACTTAGGGAGCAAGAGGTCATAGGTTCAGATCCCAGATCAAATGTGTGGCTAGTTGG